TGCTTGTGGCTCGCAGATAGCGTGGAAATCCAAGTACGGAAGGACGACACAAAGCAAGAGATGATTAAAAAAATAACGTTTCCGCTTACGTGAAGTTATTACAGATTTATTGAGGGAGACAGAAAAAAAAGGGGGGGGGGGTGGCTACAGAATGAGGTAAATAATGACAAAGGGTGATTGCAAAATGACTCAGTGAAAGAGACAGCGACTTAAAATAATAATAAAAACAAGATCAATCATTGTCGGGATTTCAAATGTAAAAAAAAAAAAAAACAGACACACACAATGCAAATCACCCAAATAGTCTAAACATTCAAAACCGCAGTCAAATACAGAGTACTGCTGTAAAAAAGAAGACTGGGAGGTGGACACAATCACAAGATATCGCATTGACAAGCAATACACTGTTTGTAGCAGCAACTTGTCATTGTCAATAAACTTTATTTTTGTCTTTGATAAACGTTTTTTTCTTTTTTTAAAGACAAATCTGGCCATTTTGGAAAGCTGCTGTCTCCCCAAAAAACCTGTCTGACCTTTTGGCGATCTTTGGCTTATTCCCTAAGCTGACAAACTTGTTTCCCTAAAATGTGTTTAGTTCTTACCAGCAAAATGGGTAAATATACAGAACAGATGTGAGAAGGGAAAAAAAAGGGTGGGCGCTTTGGCTGGTACTGTAAGAAAAACTTGCTTAGTACTTAAGATGAGAGATATATGCAAAGTTGCACCACTTCCTCTGCTTCTACTTCCGCCAGAGTTTTAAGCCAAGGAACCATGGACACTAAATATGAAGCGCGCTTGTTAAAGGATATGTTGTCAGACTATGGGAATTATTTGTTCTTTAAGTTTGGCTACACGCGTTGAACAAGAATTTGAGAGACTAGCAAAGTAAACCTGATTCTCATCATGTCTACGAGAAATTGTTCTTACAGCACAAAGTCTTTGGAACAAGCTATATAGTGTCCGTCGACACAAAATAAAGTACAACCCCTGTTAAATCTGGAGCCAAATTCTTAGAAGAATGTGATCAGTTTATACAACAGAATAATAGTCCACATGCTCATCAAGGAACAGAATATGAAAAAGCAAACCGTATGACTATATTCTTCTCTTCTTCTGCCTTCTATCCCACAACGGGACATATGCCCTCAACCAATTCACGCCAAGTCGTTCTAAC